GCCCCCAGCCCAGCCTCCCAGCCCAGTCCAGCCTATTTAGTTAATTTAAAAGCGCTGCGCATCGCTGCCTTCGGGGTCGGCGGCATTGGCGGCAGCCATTAAATAAACCATGCACCACGATGCGACACCAGAGCACCGCAGCGGAGAGGCCTCTGAAGACTAAGATTGTACGGAGACTGACTTTAAACTCCAATGCAAGCATTCATGCAGAGGAGACATAAAAATCCTTTTTTTGGACATGTTAAAGTTACAAAGGGAAGCTCCCCGGACTCAGCCACTCCATCCTGAACCTTACGGCAAGACCTCCAAACCTAGGGCTGGCTTTAAGGCTCCGGACTCAGGGTTTAGGGGTTTAGGGGTTTAGGGGTTTAGGGGTTTAAGGGTTTAGGGGTTTAGGGTTTAGGGCTTCGGACTCAGGCTTTAGAATTCACAGGGCCAGACACCCCCAGACCTCTTCTAGAACCCGCTTGAAACCCTCATGAAGCCTCTCCACAGCCCTTCCAAGCCCCCTTCTGCCCAAAACCCTGCATTTTAAGAATCAGGCACCCTTAAAAGAACTCGGGCCCCCCCCTAAACCCTAAACCCCTAAACCCTAGACCCTAAACCCTATCAAGCACTCGGGGTCCCGGGCGGCTGGGTCCCGGTCTGATCTCTCGATCGGACGGAGATCTCCCGGTGAACCGCGACGAAAGGGCCCGGAGCCGGTCCGATCACCGGCTCCCACTGCCCACAAACCTCCGGGTCCTTGCAGATTTTTAAAAGGCTGACTCACGAACCCGCATTTCAGGGCTTTTAGGTGTTGGGTTGAGTTTTTTTTTTGAGGTTTCGGGCTTCTGCAATGATGTATCAAGTGCTCGGTGCCGAAGGCTCGGGCGTTTTTTTGCTCTGGAGGGCCCCCGACTTTCAAGGGCATCCCAGGAGGCGTGGATTGGTGGGGCGATTGTTTGAGTGCCTTGTCTACCGGGTCTGAGAGGCCTGGGTCAGTAAGCGCCGGACTTCAGGGTACCTGCTGTGGATCCTTAGTATATAGTCGTATATTATTGTATGTCATCGCATCTTAGTATCTTTTTTGTAACTCATCGCATTCTTGCATGTTATGGTATACTCTAGCATACTGGGGCAAGATAATCAAGATCCTGTGGGCTCGAGCCTACTTGGGGCTACATCGTAAACGTAAACCCTTCGTCCTCAACCCTGATCTTCAGAGACATCTAAAATTCTGTAGAACACAGACTCTGGAGGGTTTAGGTTTAGTTGAGGGCTGAGTTAGTCTGAGTTCAGGGTTGGACGGATGTCGGATCCTGCAAAAAAAACTCTGTCCTGCCGGATGTACAGGAGCTGAGGAGCCTGCCCTGCGGCTAAGTTCAGATAGAGCCTCTCCTCCCGCAGAGGATGCAGGGGCTGCACATCTGCGAACAAACACCTGGTCTCAGGAGAAGCACTAAAAAACAGCGCAGCAATGCCAGATTGAACTCTTACAAACAAGGTGTTTCAGCCATACGTTATGAAATATTCAGAAGCCGACAACGCCAAGGCACCAACCAAGATGTTCGATGTAGCGGAGGAACACGAGCCCAGGATCTTTCTGGAAGTCGAGATGGGCTGTTCTTTCGAAAAGGCCCGAGCAGTCATCCCAGCCGCAGTTCCCAACGCGAAGTAGGGAAACGTCGGGGCTTTTTGGTTGACCCGGCTCCTGGACAGGTTCAGTCAGCTTGCTGGCACTCCGAGCCGCTCGCACAGCTTGTTGCCACTCTTGCAAGCAAGATTTTGGCGAGGGAGGCGGCTTCGGCACCAGAGACGCGATAGCAGCGATCTCACTGCTGCATGCCTGTGGCAGGACCACTTTGCAAGCCTCTTTCTGAAGTCTTGTCTGCTTCCAATCTGCTCCAAGCTCAGCTGGAAGGAATATCTTCTTGGCAGCACAGTACTCCTGCAAGCGAAGGGATGTGTCGTCGATGACTTCCCGGATGCAATAGCTGCGCTTAATTTGCTCGTTGGCCACCGGGTCAAAGGCAAAGAGCTTGAGCGAGGAGTGGTTCTCGCCGAGTTGGTGCGGTACCTTTGTGCGAACTACAGAGTTGGCCGAGTCAATCTCCGCAACATCGACAGAAACATTCTGGCAAATGTTGAAGCTGCTCCTTCCCATCCTGGGATAATGATCCACGAAGAACCTTCCCCCGTCCAACATGGGAATCCCATCAACCCTGATCTCTGCTCCACGAGGGAAGCTGTGCCCCGGAACCGTCAGTTTGGTCTCATACTTATCGCACTCGATCTTGGCGACACGCCCCGTCCACGGCATGGCGAACTAAGCCCTGACGCTCACCTACCGAGATGCCGACTCTACACGATGGCATCCAAGTTTATTCAGGACTAAAAACTGCAGGATTGTAGGTAAGAGTCCCGAGACAAGCGCGCATGTGTGAGTCACGTGGTGCAACTCGAAATGCACGAGGTAGCTGAAGCATCTGCAAGTTCATACACGTGCCGCTGATACACATGAGCACAGGAGCCTTGAAAAGACTGGGCCAAAAGCAAGGAGCAGTGCCGTAAACTTGCCGAAAATGACCCACTCTAATCCTGCTAACCCTTGCTTCTAAAGCTTTCGGCCGCAGATGGTTTGGGTGCCCGTGGCTTTGACCCCAGTCCCAGCGCAGCGCCTGATCGCCCACTGGTTCTGGTGGTTGACATTCCGGCTGCTTCAAAACTATTCGATTCGTGCGTTGGTGTGCACCCCCACTTCTGGGTCGCGGACTGACATAGCTGACGGCCTTGGTGTCTTCAGCAGCGAGCTTTACTTCTGACTTCAAAGGGAAAAAGGAGCAGCACAGCTCATTCAGAACTTCTTCAAATATCAGCGTGCGAAAACCATGCGACTAGCTTGCGCCCTGACCTAGGACTGCAGTGTAATGTAGAATTTATGATTGTGACAAGGGCAGATGTGACGACTAAGTCCCAGGATCTGTCCGCTGAGCCTGTCGCCTGACGGAATGACACAGATCCATGGGCTCTCCTCGGCTCCTGTTTGCTTCGGGCGGGCGCTCTGGAGCCGTGAAGTAAAGGCGGCTCTTGAGCAAGCACAACTACGTGGGTCTGTCCGTTGCATCTCGTGGCCTGCAAGGCTCACAACTTCCATCTCTTTTTGTTTTTGCTCACCTGGCACCCTCTGTATGCTTACTGCAACACCCAGAAGATCTCGAGTCTTGGAGTTTCACTCCGTGCCCTACGTGTAGCCCTTATAGACTCCCTGTCCTGGACCTCCAGCCGCGGTGGTGTTATTTCCACCTGCGGGTCCAGGGGCTTCAAGGCTTTGGAAAGGGGACGTGTTAGGTTTAGGGTTGCTTTTGGCTTAGGGCCTTGTGGTTTATTCGGTGCAGCCTTTCGACCGCGGGTTGTTGCACGGAAGCCGGACCTCTCCCGGATGGGTGTGCTGCGCGAGTGCTACCAAACCAAGCCGGTACACCAACTGAGCACCCGAAAGGGATGTTAAGAAGTCCATGTCACTGGTCGAGTCACCTCTCCCCTCACTTCCCGTGGAATGAGGCTGCATTGATTTCCAACCCTAAACCCTAAACCCTATACCTTAAACCTTAAACGAACAGTCAGAAACCTTCGGCCGCCTTTGGCGGCTTCTCGGGGCTGGGGCCCGCAGCCGTCGATGCTCCGGAGAGACCGGTGGCATTGGAGGCCTCAAAGGGGCTTTCCTGGGATTCTCATTAGGGTTCAGGATTTAGAGTTTAGGGGTTTAGGGTTTAGGGTTTAGGGGTTTAGAGTTCTGATTATGTTGGCGATTAGTCTCGACGGTTTCGGGTCTAGGCTTCATCGCATATTCTGGTATGTTAGAGTATCTTTTATGTGTATATATATATATATATGTGTATATATACTCTTTATTACATTATAGAAAAATATTAACCTAACGCGCCAAGTGGCGGAGGAGGGCGAGCCGGGCCACCCATGACCTGTCGGAGCGTTGGCAGATTTCTTTGAAGATAGCGGTACCACGGCGGTATCTAGTTTCAGAAGTTGAGGGTCTAGGGTTTAGGTATGGTGACAGTGAAGATCCTAGCATCTGGGATCTATTGAATCGCCTGTCTTCTGAAACTCCCAATTCCGGCATGCCCCTGTCCAAATCAACGAAGGTGAAACCCGGGGCCCAAAAAACCTCACTAGCTAGGGTGACTCCCCCTTTGCGTACTTGCGGATTCAATTCCGAGAATGTAAAGCCGGCGGCTTAAGGTTCAGGGCTTGGGGTGCGACTGCATCTTACGCCATTGCTCTTCGTATAAGCAAACCAACAACCCAGAGACTCCAATACCGCTTAATTAAGGAATATACCTTAAATTATCCCTAATATGATTTAAGGTATCCTCCTTAATTAAGGGGTACTGGAGTCTCTGGGAAAGTGAAAGACAGAGGCACGCCAAGCCTGCGTCTGAGCTGTTCGGCAGCTGCCAAACGACCTTACTGTACGTTTATCTCTCGGTGATCTTATAGGAGTCGAATCTGCCTGAATGTGCGAGGGTTTTTTGAAGCCATGCCCACAGTAATCGCCACGAGCTGCACTACCGGGAGGCACGCGCTCTCAGGAAGGTCCCAACCAAGAATCTAAGAACCCTGCCTCCTCGGACCAGTTTGCCGGAGACCTCAGCTTTGGTGGTACTACCCGACAGTGTAACAATGCTTCATGACGTAATGCGCTTCTAAGTTTGCATACTTATCAACACCGACTCAAATTCCCAAAAATGCTTAGTTATGCCAAATATTTACACCTGTATAGTATACAGTTACGCTGAATTACTCAGCGATACATGGGTAGTGTTTTGTGTTGGTAACAAGAGCTATGTGCATGTAGAGACATCCTGTGCTTTTGAGCGGCGATCCGTTGCACATGCCTATTTTGAATTGAAGGCAGCCAGCCAAAACCTGCTCGAGGACAGGAAGTATCCGAGCTTCTGCTCGCCAGTTTTCAGTTGCTGAACTTGCTTCGACGACCCTCAAAGTCACAGTGTGCAACTTGGAACACCGATGCCCTGTGAATCGATGCCCGGCCTCACGACGGTCGAACTGCTGACAAACAAACTTTGAGCGAAGCAGCTCCACCCAAAGCAGTCAGCCAAAAGCACAACGAGTTGCCCTTGCACTCTCTACCTAAGCCATGAAGCCTCTTAAGTGTTTCGGAACTCGAACAACACCGCGAGCATTGCACGCCAAGCCTGTGTGCCAGCCTGCAGAAAACCTACAACTACCAAGATGCTCGAAGGGGTATATGCTTCCTCCATGTATGAATCCTCGTGCGCATGCCTGACCCTGCAGCACTTCGCGAGTCAGTGCGAGACTAGGACCCTAAACTTCGACCTTACTATTATTACCCTTGATCCTGTCGCGACTATGCTGCGGTAGACGTGCAGATGGGTGCCTGGCCCCCGGCGAAAGCGAGACCTGTGCACAGCGCAGCATCCAGTCGTTGCACGTCATGGCTATATACGCAGAGCACACTCCAGCCGTACATCATGCGCAGCTCCACAGTCGAAGAGTCTTACACTGTATCAGGAACAGCCTTTGTAGCCAGAATAAACAATAAAGACATCATCTATCTAGCCCCTCAGGTGCTGCGCGGCTAAGCGCCACATATCATCCAAGCTGCATCGCGTTAAAGACGAACGGATCTAAAGATCATGCAATGCAAGTGGCCTACGCGGCTGCTGTGGAGGAGTGGATGGACGCAGGCCCCCCGCCTTTGCCATGCAAGGTTGCTGCGACAGCCCGATCAGATCTTCGAGGAACTTGAGCGAGCGATACATGTTCAGATCATACATTACGATGCAAGCCACAGCAATGCTGAGTTCCGAGTTTTAACCCAAACCCAAGCTCACCCTTTCAGCCCGAACCCTAAACCTACTCGAACTCCTTTGGATTCCTTTCACCCCAAGTCTGTGGCCAACTTTGCGGAAGCCGTCAGAGGAACTCCTGCGTCGGTGAGCGCTGCTGGAAAGGAAGCTTCGGGTAGTATGGGCGCTATAAACTCTAGGGACGTTTTAGGACACTACACAATGTAGGATTTAATTGGACTTAGGGTTTTAGGGTGTGAAATGTGTCGCGTTTTGCTGGATCTTTTTTTCCGCAGGTGAGTCGAATAAGGGCAGAACCAGTTGAGTCCAAGCCCCCGACCCCAGGGCAGGAGACTCGGACTCTCCAAGACGGGCGGTTCAGCAAAGTGGGATATATAAGGGTTTAGGGCATTTGGTGTAGGTCTAGGGTACTGTAGGATTTAAGGTTTAAGGGCTTTACAGGGCGGTTTCGGCTCTCAGACTCGGATCTCGAGGCGAGGCGTTGTGTCTCGGGGCAGTGTAGGGTTCAGGGTCAGACTGCAGACAACAGGAATGGTCGCAAAGTCTCCCACCTGTTTTGATGCCGTCTGCAGCATGAGCCTGTCCTGGACAAATCACAGCAGATACCAGGAGTCTCCATTGCAGTTCCCTGTCTTGGACAAAGGATCCTAACTAGCGAAGCAAAACAAGGACAGCATTGTCGACTATGGGCAAGAACGGCAATCATGCTATACCAAAGTCTATGATAACATATCCAATACATCCTAGCGTATTGTACCCTATACCCTACACGGTATTCTATGCACTGTTCTTTTCACTCTATACTCTAAACTGCGCACTCAGTGTCTATATACAACAAACTATTAACCGTTTGCTATGTACTGTATACTATGCAACACATACTATTTTTATACTATTCACCACACACTATGCACCAAATGCGAAATACTCTAGACGACAGGCTATATACTATCGACCATGCATGTTATACTTTATGCTGTGCGTATGCACGATGTACTGCAAGCTGTAGAATATCAACTACATCTTGTATACTATAGACTGCATACTATGTACAACATGTTGTGTACCTACACCGCATACGTGAATTGTACTGTTCACTATGTACCATATGCTGTCAACTGTACATTAAACACGCTCTACACAATACCGAATCTAGTACATGTTACTGAAGCTGTATGTCAATTACAGGCTGCATCCTGTACACCACGCACTACACACTATACTGCATGATGCATTTTGCACTGCACGCTATGCTGTATTGTATACTACACTAGACTCACGATAGACAAAACTAGACTAGACTCGACCCGACTGGACTCGACTGCGCAAAAACTAGGCTAGACTCCGCTGGACGGGACTCGACTCTGCCGGGCAAGACTTATTGTTCTCTAAATCACACTGTGTGACATATTGAAATTCGTACTTGGAGATACGACATGAACCAACTTCTCGCCTCGAGGCGAGGGCGAGTATGGCCAGTATGGCCGATGTTGATGTGGCCCCTGTGGGCGAGAGGCTCAGAAGGGGATCCGGTGACTCTAATCTTTAGAAGTGGCTGCCCGGCCTTGTTGGCACGCAGTGGCGACAAGCTACCTGAAGTCACGCAAAAGTGGGGAGGCAAGGGCGCACTAGAAGCTTTGCGAGTTCAACATTGTGCATGGGGTTCCTTATTTTAGGGCCCTTATAAGAAGGATCCTACTATTTAGGGTACTATATTAGGGTCCCCTATGCCTTGCCTGGCGGGCTGGAAGGCGGCGGTCTTCGCGCCTGCGGCATTCTCGAGGTATTGAGCAGCTGTGTCCCGGGTTGCCCGTACATCGAGGGCGGTACGAATGCTTCGTTCCGCAACTACGGCTCGCACGACCCATGCGAAACGCCTGAAACCAAAGTCGAATTTGCGAAGTCTTTCGCGCCACACCGAAAAACCATGACTTCGAAATAGGCCATATCAGTTGCATCCGTAATGGGTGTAATGCAGAAGGTTGCACATCCGTAAATGCACTAGTCATGTAACCTGGCAGCATCCTAGGCTTTCACAGCCGTCGCAAATATGGGAGTTTCAGAAATATGAGAGCCCGTGAAGAAGCTGCCCCTTTGTTTCCTCCAGTCCTAGTGCGACTGCCGGATACCCCTGAATGTCTGAAACCCACATGTGGATATAGGAAATGAAAGCAGTGGACCAGCAGGTTCACGCTGCTTACTGGTAATATTACGGTTAGGATTAGGACCACTTTAAAGGAGCAAGGGACTAGAAGGGGGTTACTGAAAGGATCATGGGACTTAGTAATTGAGATGATTATTAGGGTAACTATACTTATAACTACTTATAACCCCAATTAAGGTACTTATAACCATACTTACTAATTAAGTCCCATGATCGTCCAAGTAGGAAGGGGATCCCTAAACCCTAAACCCTAAACCCTAAACCCTTTTTTGCACCAGGACTTGTGCAATCGCCTGAATGACCCTAAACCCTAAACCCTTTTTGCATCCAGGACTCTTGCAAGCCCTAAACCCTAAACCCCTAAACCCTAATTCCTAACCCCAAGGAGGGCCAAGAACCACCAAAAACCCACAGGGCGCCTGGGCTCAAAAGTCGGCTCCGGTAGCCAGAGCTTCATCGGAGGGCCTGAGGAACCCCAGAGACTCACTACCCCTTACTTAAGGACAATACCTTAAACTAGTAGGATCCCTAATAAGGTTTAAGGTATATTCCGTAGTTAAGGGGTATTGAAGTCTCTGGGTTTAGAGAGCTATGGGGGTTTGGGGTTTAAGCTCTCGCAACTCGGACTCCGCCAGACGAGGTCTCTTGTCTCCAACTTGTGCAGACTACTAGAACTCTAGCAGTGATCAGGGGCTATAGAGTATTACGGGGGTTGCTTTAAGGGCTCCTTGACGGAATTCTTTCAAGGCTCCTTTGAGGGTCCTAGGGTTCTGTAAGGGAAGGTTGCGGTCTTCTGGGGCAAGGGTTCGAGGTTCCTATAAGGGGTTCAAGTTTTCTCCCTCTAGGATCGATGCCTACAAGCGATTTGACAACAAGCGCACAACAGCTTCATGCACCTTCTGCCATCAGCATTGTTGAAAGCTGAGAAGGGCTCAGGCTTCATCGGGTTTCGTTGTTTGCGGCTTGGTCCCGACCCTCCATGCCCATGCTGTGGACATCCATCAATTTGCGTTTTGGATGTTCGAGTTATCGGCTGTAGCTTCAGCTTCAGGGCTGCTTAATATCCTCGTTTCTTCTCGCAGGGGCAAAGGGCTCGGGCTTGAACTGGTTTGAGAGGCATTCTCCCGGGCCCAGAAGCACAGCTTGGCTCTCACAGCTCGGACTTGCCAGGCGAGGTCTCTCAGGACGAAAACGAAATCAGTGAAACTACCACGATTGGAAGACAGACCCAAGTGACGATGGACAGCTGCATACAGCAACGCATCCGAAACACGACCCACAAAAACAAGCAAGAGAGGGTTTGACGAACTCGAAGTTCCAAGCTTCCTGCCCTACTGTACCTATGGTTACTCTGAAAATACCCTTATGGTAACCTGTGCCCCCCCCCTTCCATGGCACGGAAGTGACCGGAGTTCTCGCTGGGTGGCGGCGGTGGCGCCGGAGCTGATGGTTCCCTGGAGTAGCGCTCTATTAACTTACAAGTCTGTATAATGCACCTATATATGTTTATATCTATTTACATAATTGTGTGTGTGTGCGCACATACATACAGGACTTACACACATGCATGCATGCCTTCGCACATGCATGCATGCATGCTTGCATGCATGCGTGCGTGCGTGCGTGCGTGCGTGCGTGCGTGCGTGCGTGCGTGCGTGCGTGCGTGCGTGCGTGCGTGCGTGCGTGCGTGCGTGCGTGCGGTTATCGCTTTCTCTCTCTCTCTCTCTCGTCTATCTGCCTATGTACCTACTTACCTATCCACCTATATACCTATCCATCCATCCATCCATCCATCCATCCATCCATCCATCCATCCAGACACACGCACACACACACACATATGGATTCTGAGTTGACGAGCTCCAGGTTCTTTCTCCCGATTTCCGGGTGGATAGGGAACGGCACATCCAAGGTGATGGCGAGTGGTGGCGATTCCCTTGAGGTGCCTTCGTTCCCGTGGCCCAACTCTCCCTTTCTGGCTTTCTTGCACTACACACCTTTTGGGCGAGAAGCTCCTATCTTCCAACTCTCGAAGAAACAGAAACATGTCTGCTGTAAGATGCTGCAGTTAAGACTAACAGAACTACCTAAACCCGTTTACAGCTGGACTACGCATATGCCAGGAACCGAGGTGCCGACTGTGCTGCAGACTCCTAAACCCTAAACCCTATTCTAGTGTTCTGACAAGGCTGACTCCTGACTATCATTCAACACTGCTTGTGAAGAAGACTTCCAAACTCTGCCGGTCCCCTGCGCCGGAGGTGCTCCTCCAATGGAATACTGGAAACAGGACCGAGCCATTGCGGCTTCCAAGTATTGCAAAATTCTGGACATCACTGCTGTCTGTAAGGCCGCCGTGAAGCCACACCGCAGTTTTGGCGGTGGCCGCATCGCGGGCTGCGTCCCGCGAGGTCTCGGCGATCCTTGAGTACTTGTGCATGGACCAAAGATTCTGCGAAAATCGGGGGTGGGATCTGGTATTCAAGTCGAACCCTATCATTAACTTGTAAGGCCCTGCTTTGTATTCTGCACTGCAAGCCAGCCCCCACAAGATGCAGCTTGTCGGGACGTGCTTGGGAAAGGGCACGAGCAAACAGTCTACTCTACAGAGCCGAAGAACCACCAGAGAAGCGCTTCGCTGTTTCCCTAAACCCTTTTTGCATCTGGTTTGCAGCGACTCAACCACTAAACCCTAAAGCCTTAAACCAACCTTAAACCAACCCTAAACCCGTAGACCCGTAGATCCAAAACCCTCCCTGGCGCCTTGAGGCTTGCTGTGCAAAGGCAGCTGCCTCGGCCCCCACAGCGGCAGCCCGTGCCGCTTTGGCTGCAGGGTCCTCCTGGAGAAGTGCTGGCAGGTGGCCCAGATTCTGGCTTTAGAGCCGATAAAGCGTTTTTTTGTGGGTGATCGAGTCCGATGGGTCGCAGGAGCAGGGTGAAGACAGCAGCCACTTAGATTCACTGTGTGTATACACGTATCTCTCTATATCTCTATCCCCGCCCTCTCTTGTCATCCATGTTTGTCTAACTGTGTATGTATACCTACATACATACGTACATACATGCATACATAGATACATACATCCATCTCTCTCTCTCTCTCATAGGGAGCCCCTCGCCTGAAGGTGCACCCCTGTGTTTTTGGAGGAGGTGAACAAAACCGCAATAGTTGAGGGAGACGATGTCTCTCTCACGGCCAGGCTAAATTTAAAGCTAAGCAAGTCCAATTCACGTGTAGAGCACAGAAGACACAGATGAGCAGTCCAAACGCAAACGTAGCCCCGAAGAACAAAACAAAGCCACCCTGCTTGCCCACTGCCGTGTCCCGTGGAGGCGGCGGTGGTCTCGGCAGACCTGGAAAGAAGCAAAACAGTAGGGCTAGACCTGGTCTGTGCTCAGGAGCCTCACAAGAATTTACGGCATATCGCCGGTAATTATGCTGCTAACTTGTCTAAGACTGATTGTCGCTGGGCGAAGCAATGGAGCTGTGATCATCACCATAAACCCTAAACAGCCAAGAAGCCTAAGCAACCACCACAGGGACCGCAGGGCCCGGGGCCACATGGGCCACAGGGGCCAGGGCCGCATGCTCCTGGTTGGTATGCTGAAGCTTGTTTGTGTCTGGTTTATAGGAGAACAGTTTTGAATATGCCGAGCTGTTCTGTCATGGAGAGAAAGAAGCCCATGAAGCTTGCGAACAGTTAATACAGCGGCCTTAATAATTAGAATAGGGTTTTGGTGTATATTCTACCATAAGTATAATAAGGAACCCTAAACCCTAAAAACCCTAAACCAGGAACACCCTAGAACCCTATTCTAGTTATTAAGGTCCCTACAGTAGGTGAGCAGAAGTCCTGGGCCGCAGGGGCCGCAGGGGCCCGGGCCGCAGGGCCCGCAAGGTCCACAGGGCCCGGGGCCCGTACCACCTGCAGCCGTTTCGGATTGAAAAGGCTTTGGGGCTCCCCGTGGCCTAGAATACTGTAGGGGTGTTAATAATTAGAATCGGGTTTTGGGTCATATTACACTACAGACTTAGTAAAGGAACCTCCAAAATAGTATAGGTAATGATTAAGTCCGAGTCCCCTATATTATTCAGACTTCCTGCTTGCGTGCCTCCTCCCTTAGGAGGCGACCTTGAGCGGTCACGGCGGTCCGAGGGTGCCGACCTTCAGATGGGATTGCAAAGACCAAACAAATAAACGTTTGCTGGCAAACCGTGCGAATATCTACTGTGCCACATCTACATATATATATATATATATACACACACACATATATAACATTACATGGCACCGCCTCCTAGTGGCCTGACTATTTTCCTGGCTCCAGCATTCAAGGCATAAAGCACACGACCCGCTTAAACCAGCAGAAGCCCTTGCTTTAAGGCAAGCCGATTGCATTCGCTTCCCAGTGTTGAAGCGCTGAACCGATCTGAACGCAGGGGTCGACGTGTGGCGCACGAACGAATTCTCTGTGTGAGCAGAGCTTCGCATACACATGTGTATATATCTATATATACATGTATATGGATTTATGTGTCCACTTAGTTTTTCAGAGCTGTGACGGACTGTAAGTGCATCCGTTTTCCAGATCGTCTTCTGCCATGCTCTGTACCAGCACAGCATCCGTTGGCCAGAGCATCCCAACTTGTGCTCTGCAACGAAACGTGGAGGCAAATTGAACTGCGAAAAGTACGTGCCTTGAACATCGTTGTTTCACAAGATCCTCAACATCCCCAAAGCCTTCTGATGACAGCATGAGTGCAGAGGCTGGGCCTTGTTAGTGCCAGCACACATGACGATGAGGGATTGGTATCAGCACGCGTCTCGAATGGATCAGGCATAACTTAACTTCAAACTGCATCACGTAGCCAGTGGACTACTACATACTGTGGGATAGTCGGAAGTGCCAGCTCAAAAACGTCACTGACTGCCAACATCAAGACTGTAATGAGGATGTGTCGAAATGGCAGGTCACCACACAACTCAGCACAAGAGTCCAACAAGTGATTGTTGCTGGCCCACTCCGTGGTCCCGGCCATGGAAAATATCAAGCAGGCGCATACATCGCAAGTAGCTCTTGATTACATGGAACTGACCAACCCACTGGGTAACAAATGGTTTCTCATCCGCCAAGGAGCGACTCGTTGCCGCAGCCAGGCCCGCCACATCCCATGCATCCTGCCATGCGTACACATGCATCAGTCCACACAGTCTTCAATATGTATGTATATATATATATACATTTATATATATATATATATACGTATGTATGTATGTACATGTGTATGTGCTATAATAGCACAAGAGACCGATTACATGTTTTGGGCTATCTGTACATTAACGCCTTCTGCGATGCAGAGGTGCAGGATCTGCGGCTTAGCTGGGCCTCTGCCGAGGCCACTGGTTTCCAACCGTTACCTGCACTAAGTCTACAACCCGTCTACAGAGAAGAGCGGCGACTCCGTAATGCGGCGGCGCAGTCTTAACCATCTGATTCGTCCATGCTAGTTCCTTGTGAGACTTGCTGTTTTTAGGGTGCCGGGTGATGCTGGTAGCGCGATTGAAACTTTGCATGTCGAGAGGCAGTTGAAATCACTATCATTCCGAACTCCCACATGGCGGAACGGAACCTCCTCCTCCTCCTGCACCGCCGCAACTGCCGCAGCCACCTCGATCGGCTGCAGTCGATGCATGACAGAACAGACATGTTTTTGGGGCCTTTATCGGTAACCCCCCCCCCCCATTCTAAAATTCCAACATGTTCAAGACAGGCGGGATCTACTCAGCCGTTCAGGGTCCCTTTAGATTGCGATGTCTCGCACCCTTCCGAAGATTCGGGCTTTGACAGTGCGCCCTTCCACGAGTTTAATGTTCAGCTGGATACATGGCACCTCCGTGGTGAGAAACATGGCCTACGGCCGCATGTTCATAATATGATAGATAACACACACACACAGCGTTCCAACTGGTTTATACTGGTTTCACACTGTGCCGGGCTGTTCTGTCGCTGGTTTGTGTCATTGCACTGGCCGAGCATACTCTCGGCCCTGCCTCGCCTGAGGTGAATGCTGAAGCAATATGTAGTATAGTAAAACTATAACACATGTGTATATACATATATGTGCGTATACATACACATATGCACCTCTAGAAAGAAAGATAGATGTAGTAGAATGTGGGTGCTCCCCCCACCCCGTAACAGTCTATTTTAGGGGTCGTATCAAGGGCTATACATACAGACATACATATGTATATATATATATATATACAAAAATAAGCGTGCGAGCCAACAGGATCATTGCGGGTGCAACTGGATCTTTCAGGGACGTTGTCGGCCCGAACTTCCCCCCATTCCAGTCAGAAAGCCTGAAACGCTAAAGCCCTGCAGCCTACCATCTCGAAGAGCAGAAAGCCTAAAGCCCTGAAGCCTAAACCGCCAAAACCGTAGAATCCAAGATAGATAGACATATATATATATATGTATATTATATATGGACATACAATCATAAACAGCCCGCAAGATCCCATAAGCCTAACGGCCTAAACCATAAGAAATCACAGATTTAATCTCGCCGCCGCAGCCGCCACAGCCACCCATGCAGCCGGGACCGCAACCTGCCCACTCGATGCAAGGACAACATCCGAGGTGCCAGCTTCTATACTGTACTATTTATATTATAGAAGTGATTGCAGCATGTTCTGATGCCTTTTTTGCATGCCATAGTACATTATGCTATGTTTCATTATGGCAATACTATAGTACATTAAAGCTAAGCCTCTAGGCATAAGGCTTCCACTTCGGTTTAGGTGTTCGGAGTCTCGGGTTCCAATGAACGGACCAGGCATGTCACCTGGGCCACATCCGCCCATGCCGCCACTGCCACCAGGACAGCAGCCTGCAGAAGCAACGGGCGCTCTGTACATCGGATGTCTGAGCCTTCGCATCTACATCTTGGACGGTCGCAGCTTCCCGCATGCCCTTCCCGGGAGAACGAAATCTGCTGCTGGCCCAAGCGACCAAGGCAAGGAACGTGTGCTTGGAGAGGAGTTTGGCGAGGGCTTTCTTCTGGCTGGTCTTGACTCGCTCGATAACTTTATGACGCGTGCGAAGGTGCGGTTTGAGAATCCTTGTACTACAAATCTGGTAACCCTTATACGAGCATACTTCTAGAAACACTTCTACTAGTACTATAAGTTGCCACTCTATGGATTTCTATGAGCTGTCTGTCTTGTGTCAAAAGCGATTTGGGACATTCACCGAACAATGTATCCGGGAACGGGGCTATTGGTGGACGTCATGGGTTCCTTTCAGGGCTCGTTTCAGGTTCCTTCAAGAATCCGCAACAGAAACGATGAAAGCGCAGCATGCCGCATGCCACCATCTACGAGTCCCCTCAGGTGCGACAGCACCTTGCAAGCATCGAGTTCTCACAGGCTTGAAACTCTGCATATACATACGCATACATCCACATCTTCATTCCAACCTGGTTTTTGAAGAAAGTACATACAACACACTTACAACACGCATGTATGCACACACACACACACACATCGCCCATACAGCAAAGGCCTCCCATGCAGCAGCCACCTGGCGGCCCGCAGTTACCGCCGCCTGGTCCGCAGCCGCCGCAGCCAGCAGGTCCACAGCCAGCACAACTCCCACCACAACCACCGCCAGAGTTCCCACTACCACTGCAGCCACTGTTCCCACCGCCTGGGCAGCCACCTCCCATAGGGCAGCCGCCCATGCCACCCATCATCATAGGGTTCATCATGCCGCCCATCATCATCATAGGGTTCATACTACCTCAGGCAAGCCAGCAAGATGGTCACTGCATGGAATCCGCGTCTAATCCACAGTGCGCTGTCAGCGCTGTAGAGTCTGCAAATGTACTGTCGATTCTGATCCAGAAATTGCTAGGTGCGACGACATGTGTTAATGATCAAGATACAGCCTGAAACTTTGACCGATGAACATCATCAACGACACTGCTGCTAATCAAACTTCCTACAGATGATGCGAGCATATGCGAGGAGCGAGAGCAGAAACCACGGCAAAGACATGCGTAACGATGGATGTGTTGAGCTGGGCTTCCCATCATCTGCGTCATCATGGAGGGGTCAATGCCCATCTGCTTGAACATGCCCTCCATCTGCTTCCTCAGATGTTTTGGGGTTTCGTTGCTCATGCTCGTAGGTTTGGGGATTTCGGACTCACTCCACAGATCTGGTTGGTGATTCTGCGAGACAAGAGCAGCGACCCCACCCTGTGAGATGTAACCTGGACGTGCAGACCGTCACAGAGGTACAAGCTTACAGGCACAGCAGGTGTCCCGTTTTCATTCAACAAGTTCACAGCTGTAGTCTCTACTCTGCTAGAACCTTGAGCAGCAAGCATGGAAACGTGCACACGTGACACTGACGGCACCTGGATGTGTAACATTCAATACTTCAACCAGGCGCAGATTTAAAAATCACGCCACGACAGCAATAAAACCCAGGGCTTAGGGTTGAGGGTTTTTGTGTAGAGTTCAACGCAAGGCTGCGCATGAAACGTGAGAACCTGTGTCTCTTCTTGACAACGTTCTTGCTGAGACTCGGGTCCATGCCCATCTGCTTCATGACGGCCTGTTGGCGAGGGAAGTAGACGAATCATGTTTATGGGCGGAGCGTTGTGAACAACTAGTTGGGGGCATGGTGCACACGAGCTGTGTGTTCTGCTCATGAACCTTCAAACATTTGGGAGGGCCCTTCACTCAAGCAGCCCTGCCAGAAAGTAACTATCACGAGGCCCTCACTGGACAAAGCTGCCCGTTCTTTCGATGACACCCCCGCCATGATACATCAATGACAGAATTATTGCTACAGCGTGGAATCGGCAATGCATGATCCGGAAGTCGAGCCTAAACAGCTAAACCGACGAAGGGATGCCAAGCATCTAACCCATCAAAGCAATTTTGCGCTATGATTCGTGAGCATCTCGAAGATTCTCAGGGTTGCAACTCTCTGAATCTCTGATCCTTTAAGACTCCCGCTTTGGCGTGTGCTGGAAAAGAGTAGCTAGTAGTTTACGACCAAGTTTGTAGCAATAGCAGGGTGGGTGCAGCAAGGCCACTTCATCCATGCCCATTTGCTTCATGAGCTTCGCGAAGGGGCCTGGGGTGTGCGATTCAACATCAACAGACCAGCGGCAGAAGTGATCTGGACATAAAGCTGGGTTCTTGATACTGAGACATCCTGCAGGTACATACATACAAACAAGCAGAGAGAGAGAGAGAGAGAGAGAGACAGACAAACAGACTGTTGCCTGCTGCAGAAATCTTCAAGACATTCAAAACAAGCCCTACTTCATATGAAGAGACAGGACTTGGGAGGAAAGCCTTAAGCCTCAAACCCCCAGACCCTAAACCCTTTGAGAAGCCAAAGCACTCTTCTTAGAACTGCCACCTTCTTTGCCAGCTTCTTTCTCACCTCCACCGTCCTGCGATGGCTTACATGGACTACGTAACTACCCAAATACGAGCTGGGTCTCGACCTTTCGAGGTTTCGTGGAGCGAGGGTCGATGTTTTTGGCTTTGGGGTAGCAGAGGCTGTGACAATCGCTGCATGGGCCATACACGACAGAATTTACGTGAGACCCAGCAACAAGGCTCTGGCGCGTGCACCCGGCATTGCTCAAGACTGTAAACTGAACTCCGCAATACCGGCGATTGTGGTCCCATTGTCGGGCCTTCTCATTCTCGGCGAGCTTCGAAGCCATCGCGAGATACTGCCTGAGTGACATGAGATACGACTTAACTTCTTGAGAGCCAGTCTTGCTCCCAACAGTTTTCAAGCTCACAGACGGCAGGCCGCACGCATGATGACTTGGCGTTACAACCGGCAGCTACTAGCACATGCATCTTGGAAACCAGCTGCCGGTGGCTCACCTCAACCAACTTCCAAGACGAAACTGCTACCCCAAATTTGAGCTTCTTCCTGCCGAGCCCTGAAAAAAGCCCTATAGGCCGCGCTGAAGAACCGTTCTAGAAACCCGAGCCCTAACTTTGAGTTCCGAAGGGCTCAGACCACTTCTCAGCAAACTCCTCTCCCGGGGGCTCCGCTTCTTCCCTGGGCGGAAAAGGGCCGAAAGCTTTGAGGATTCTTGGGGTTTAGGGGTGTAGGGTTTGGAAGTTTAAAGGCTTCGGGGCTTTTTTTGTTTAGGGTTTTGGGTTTTGGGGTTTCGACTCTCATTCTCGCACGAAGCAGGCAAGGGTTTCGTGTTTAGAGGCTTCGGGGTTTAGGGTTTGGTGACTGCACCAGAAATCGGGCTTCAGCACTCACAGTCGGACTGGCCTGGCGAGGTTCCTGGCATTGGGTTTAGGATTCAGGGTTTAGGGGGTTAGGGTTTAGGGGTTTCAGCACTCACAACTGGGACAAGCCTGGCGAGGTTCCAAGTACATCGACAATAGCACATTGGCGTTTAGGGGTTTAGGGTTTAGGATTAAGGCGCTGATTGAATGGAATCGTCGGCGGAAAGGCGCGAGGATTCTTGTTATCGACACCTGGGCCTTTGGGTCTGATGTCCTGGCTACCAGTTCGAATGTGCATTCTGACTAGCTACATATATATACATATATATATATATACATATGTATACATATATACATATGCATATATATATATATGATTGTGCATGTATTTTTTGTTTACACTTGCATGTCATGAAGAGTGTTGGGCACGCCCTATACAACCTGGGTTCTGAAGAACTGTCTTGGAGATCCCGGTCCGAAGCTCAGGCGTCTCAACAACAATGCGAAAGCGAAAACGCACTGCTCTCCATGACATACAAATTTATACATTATATACATATATATATATATATATTATCTATAACAAAAACATACATAAATATAGATAAACCCGTGAACACATACATTAATTGTTTTGTCTATATACATCTATATATATATATATGTATGTTTGTAGGCCAGGAAGCTCAGGCTCTTCTGTGGCCTCCGGCAGGCGGCAAGTGGCAAGATGAACTCGAAATCGGCTTGAAAGGAGCCGTCAGAGCATATTTAGCATAGCAGGCGTGCAGGACATGGGCTTCTGGGACCCATGTAAATACAAGATTTAGGATTTCAACCTGTGTTCAGACATTAGTTACATTAGTTAATTCCACGGCGACCATCCCTATCAGTGCACCCTTGAGGTTTGCCGTTCCTGACAGTCATCGCTTGTCTCTTTGGGGCCGTGGTTGGGGCCCGCAGTACAGCACGCGGTGGAAAGCCTTCTGCATGGAGCTGGTAAGCCCCGCTGATGCGGCGATGCCGTCGTGGCGCTTGACCTGGCCGAGTTCACCCATAGAGGTCTGCCAAGCCTTATCCTCAACAAACCGCATCATGCCAGCATCCGAAGCAGCACAGTTTCTTGCGCTGCTTGTTGCTACTTTGGCTATGTGCTGCACTCCGGCTGCCTCCACCCACTTGTTGTCAATCATGTGCTTCGCATGGGCATCGATGACTTTCTCCACTGCCTGAATCGAGTCAAACAGCACTGTGTTTGCCGCGTCGTTAAGTGCCGGAATATAGTGTGCTTTCCACATGGTCTTGACGGGTCTCATCTTCAAGTACATTGACACATATCACGTTATACTGCAGCGAGTTTTGCTGCAATGTTGCAACATCTCCCAGTACAACCGGTATCCTAGTATTCAAAGCCATAGAATCAGATGTGTGCAAGAAGGAATGCTTACTGCTGCGGCCGAAGGCGCATCGTGGTCGGAGAACTTGACGAAAGCGAAACCCCGGGAAGTGCCATCGGGGAGCCGCTTGATGTCTACCTGCTCCACCTGAACAGGGTTCCGGTTTAGTTCTTTTTCCCCACCCGCTTCCCTGACTAGGTCGCACTGCAGGGTGTATAGGGCTTGGGAATGTTAAGATGTGCTGATTGCCATCTTGTCGTGACTAACAGCCATGAGGTACAGCACTTTCCATTTGGGTTCGATACGTTCGGACGGAACACAGGCGACGCGCTCCGCTGTCAGGCTTTGCTTTCAGACTGCGACGAGCCGCTGCGTTCTTACAATTCGGGCTGCAGCCAAGTCTGCACCGTGTTTTCCCTCCGACTTAGCAAGGACCGTGTGAGCGTTTGAGCAAAGCACTCCGCGACCGCACTGGAAGCTGGCAAGGAACTTCTGCAAGTCTGAAGTCACATGCCTCTTGCAAGCACCCCGGCTTTGCCTGGCCAAACTTCGCGAAGTGGGCTGTGACCTCACAAGGGTCAAACCCATGTTACATCATCGACTTACCCACCATTCTTCCTTGAATCGCCTTCCCATGCTACTGCTGAACTTTGCCCTTGTTGAATGGGCGAGACGGGCTGTGTTCCGAGAAGCCACAGAATTCTCCCTCGTCCCGTGTCAAATTTGCGGCTCGGGAACTCTGTCCTCTTCGGTAGTCTTGCGCAGACCTCGAAGCTCGCTTTCGCAAACTGCTATATCGATCATGTCGCAGGTGGTGTTGATGTAAAAGCATGGTCGATATTGTTTGCTGCGATTGCTGTCAAAGCGCTGCTGCAGCTAATGCTGCCGCTGCTGCTACCACTGCTACCACTGCTGCCGTCACTACCACTGCTGCCGCCACTACCACTGCTACTGCCACTACATCAAAAACAATAACAAAAACTACTACTACAACTGCAACTATCAGTACCGGTGCTACTACCAGTACAGTGCCACTGCTAGTACTAATAGTAGTAGTACTCATGGCAAGAACAGAAGCAGTGATAGTAACAATCATAATACAACTACCACTGCTACACTCCGCAATGCTGACGGCAATACTACTGCTATGGCTGCAACTCCTCGTGGCCCTAGTGCCGCGGCCCCGCTATTGGAGCTGCGGCTGCTGCCAGTGTTACGCCACCCCTACTCCTGCAGACTCTTGCTCCGTCTTGTGCTACACCCGCTATGCGTTTGACTGCTACACAAACAGGAGTACTAGCATATAAATAAAATGCCTATTGGTCTGACGGCAGTACTCACCATGCCGGCGGCCTCCAACGAAGATGACCATGTCGTTGCTCTTTGGCTTCTTCTTGCCCTAGGTAGACTTTTAGGATTTGAGTTCCTGCACTGGGCCAATTTAGGTAATGACCACAAGATCAGAGTTGGTTCTTGCTACTACTATTCAATTCGTGGTCCATTCAAGTAGTGAGCAGTTATTTCTGTTGCCGTTGCTATTTGGCAGAATACCGTACTATGACAATGGTGCTGAAACTTCCCAGGGTTCCACCTCGGAACCAGGCAAGAGAAGTTTGTATTGCAACTGTGGCCAAAGCTTGAATAGCTCTAAGACTCTAAGCTCCAGACCCTGCAACCGAATCTGCAAATTCCTGATTTCCAAAAGAAGTCTTCGAGCCTCACACTTCTTACCCGCATATCAGCACAATTCAGGGTACTGCTGCAGCACTGCAGGATGCTGCAGTATCTGACCCCTGCAAAAGTCAATGAGAAGGCTTCGCTAGAAAGATGGGCCGCGGAAGGTAAATCGGGACACAGCCGGTTCTGTCGAGAGGTGTTTCAAACTGGGAGCTTGGCCGGAGAACAATCTTTGAGCCTTCCTCAAGAAGGCAAGTGGCCGACTTATCGCCCTTCTTCTCCTTCTTGGATCCAGAGATGCCCATCATCTGATTCATCATCTCTTGCATCTTCTTCCTAAGCGACTTGCTAACTTTGGTCGATGCTTGGCGTCAGGGTTCGTCTGTCTCGACAGGCGCGCTCAGGATGACAGATGGTGCTCGCAGGGGCCTTCACGAGCCACTGTACAGTTCCTTAAAGGGATCTATAAGGGTTGCTACTGGTATAAGGGTACTATAAGGGTTCTATAGTTCTCTTGATTAGGGTCCCTTTTAGGCTTCTCTTTATAGTAACTGCTTCCAGGAAGACGGCCTCTGCTCAAATACGAAGCCTCACTCTCAGCCCGATCCGACCCTGCCCTTCCTGGCTGCGCAAAACGTTTAGGGTTTTTTTTTAGGGCTGTACGAGTCGAACCACTTTTGCAGAATGTATGCCCCCCCGTAACCCTGCAAGCCCTCGAAGGTTAGCGCAGATGGCAGCAAGCAACATGGCAGAGCAAGGATGCAAGATTCCTGGAGTTCCGTGCAACCGCAAGGTCTTGGGCAAAAAAACTGGGCTGCAACGCCTCTGTTTTGTTTCGTTGGTTGGAGGCTTTTGGGAAAAATTATACCTAGCACCCACCGAGGCTGGTCTCTGGACCTTAAAATGGTAGACTTCTGAGTGTGGAGCGGAGTGTTCAGTTGTGATTCTATTCGAAAGTGCAAGTTTAGGGCTTTAGGGCTCTGAGGTTTAAGGCCCTTCTGGAAGCCAGGATGCATGTCGCACCCGCCGCCGCCCATCATCATGTTATTCATCATTTGCGACCTGGGACTTCTACAGCCATGGAAGCCGAACATCTTCCAGCAGTGCGATGAACGTGGCGATGATCAGGATGGTATGACTTTCACTATTGCCCTGTGGTTTCTGCGTACTGGGGCCTGAATCAAGCTGAACGAAGCGGATGAACAACACTTTCAGTGAGATGTATGCGGCGCCTCTGCATGGCTCCTGCTCGATGGAGGTTCGAAGAGGAGTACTGGTAGCAGTTAAAAGCAAACCACACGGCTACAGGCAATGCCATGCAATGGCATTCCGACAACCTTTCATACTCACTTGGTGTTTTTTTCGAAGTCAGAACTCAACGTCTTTCCACCCGCACGCGGAGACGGAGCCCTGATGACCAAGCCCGGAAGAGCGGCTGCTGCATCATCATCTGCTGCTGTTGCTGCATCATCATCCTTGAAAAGCATGGCGGCTTCGGTAGCTTCGGGGTGCTAAGTCCAGGCTCATGTGCTGGTCAAAAGACATGCGCTACTTCCACAACATGCAGGCTGCATCACACCGCGAAGTGGGGAGGCTGGGACGCTTGCGAACGGTTGCCCCCCGTATATAAGTAGTCAGTAACAACAACGCAGTACGGTTGAAGAAGCTATCCTTGCACGAACCAGACCTCGCTGGCAAGTAAGTAGCCCGAGGCCTACTGGGGAGTTTGTCGCAAGAAAGACAATGCCAGCAGCCAAGTGCCCAGCACAGCTTAACTCCAACTCAGAACATCTGAAACCCATGGAGACACAACCACAAGGAACACATGGGGGTTTCCAAAAATAGGGGACCCTAATATAGTACCCTAAATAATAGGATCCTTATCATAAGGACCCCCAAATAAGGTACCNNTACCCCTAATTTTCGGAAACTCCCCACATCCTGAATTCAGCTTCGGCCTGGTGAAGCCTCTTCTGGGCGAGAACAGGATCGCACGGAAACGGTAGATCCGCTGCTTGCGGCGATCTAGAAGTAAACCTTATTCAGTTAGAACTTATATTGACCCTGAATCCTAAGGTCCTAAAGGTGCCCCAAGTGTCTGCTGCTGAGCCATTGGGTTGCAGCCGCCGCCCATGGCCGGACGCGGCATTCCCATGCCGCATCCTTATGGACAGTCGACTTCTGTGGGGTCTTCAGGCTTTCTGGAGGAGGCCTCCTGCGTTGCTGTACGAAATTGATACCAGCAAATTCTCATGCATTTCGACTACCACCACGTCGCAACCAGGGCATTACTCTCCATGCTTGAAAGATCCTCATTGAGATGCAGGATGCCAGTGACACCGAACGACTACCAGTATTCCCATGCGGGATACGCCGTGTGATAGTTGCTTAGGTGAATTTAGGTCTTCGAACTAACAAGGCCCATGTGCCCCCGAATGAAAAAGAGAGGAAGCCCGGGAGCTCAGAAACTGTGCTGCAGCCGAGGATGCCTTGCATCATGGGGTTCATGGCCTTGCCTGCGTCACAAGGAAGCAAGAGACGTCACATGAGCCGGAATGCAGGGACTATATCGGCAAAGGAGCAGCTTCTTAGCACGGCCTTTGCACGCATGGCTCAAAGACAGTAGACCAAGGCTATCAGCGGCTATCACTCCGAGAACCACTCTCAACCATTGGAAGCGCGAGCGACTGCACACTGCACAGGAGGACTTTCAGATGGTGAGGAAGATAGCCGCGCATACGTGCTGTGTATCCGCTGCAGTCCTGGGCAAAGTAGTCTTCCGGACACTCACCCGCCCCCANNCCCCCCCCCCCCCCCCCCCCCTTCACTCTGCACGTGGCCTCCGCTCTCCTTCAGCGCATGGCCGGCACAGCTGAAGAGCCACACAACGGCAAACAACGGGCGGGCGAGATAAGGCCAAACGCATGGGGACATTATGGCCTTGCAAAAAGTCTGAACGGGAGGATGGTGCATCTACAGATACTATCTTGACTCACAAGCTATCAGTCTGTTTGCTATGCGTACGGTTCACGGCGCCTTGGTGGTGCAGGTTTTCACCACTCACAGCTGGACCTACTCAGACCTACGTACTCGAAGCAAGCAAACTTCACAAAGACAAAGCCTTCTCCGTATTCCATCGATCGGTATGGGATGTTTCTTATTTCTGGATTCCACAGTAATTTCGCAAGCAGGATTCTTAGGCCTCCAACCTGCACCAGCACGCCACAACATCTCTAAACCCGAAATCTGCAAACCACGCCCCTGGCGGCAGCCGCAAACCACCTGGAGGCTAGCTGTCCATTAAGGTCTGGAAGATAAAATCCCGCAAGGAGTTGACCTTGGCAGGTCTGGCGAGCACGTGCGCGATTATATAGCTGTGTAAACACACGTAAACGAACATGCGCATGTGCAGAAGTCTGCATGAAGACGAGCACATACTACGAAGATATGTATATAGATAGA